CGTACGTACGTACGTACGTACGTACGTACGTCGTACGTACGTACGTACGTCGTACGTCGTACGTACGTCGTCGTCTCTCTCTCTCTCTCTCTCTCTCTCTCTCTCTCTCTCTCTCTCTCTCTCTCTCTCTCTCTCTCTCTCTCTCTCTCTCTCTCTCTTCCTCTCGATTTCCGGCTTCCTCTCTTTTGAAATTTCCATCGCGATTCCGTTTATCGCTACGTTTATCGGCGATTGTCGATCCTGGATCCTCTCGATTTAAGTTTGATTTTTCGTAATTGATCGGGATCGAGTGACAACGTCTTGGAATTTCACGATGCCATCGCGCCTCGATAGATACGTGAACGAATCGTGATAACGCGCGTTGATATCGATATCAAGTGAGCAAACGCGACATCTCACGCAGACGACGACGCGAGCACGGCATGACAAGAGGACGGGTCCACGGGTTCGGTTGGTTGATTCATACTCACGATGGTAAGTAACACGCTAGTTTCTCCCACTTTTGGTGTTTACATATCTCTCGAATGATCCGAGGTCGATTGTACGGTCCCTGACCGCAAATCGTTCCCGCAAGTACACTCAAGGAATCACATGCGATGCTTTCCTTTTCCTTCCTTCTTGTAGCAAAATTCCTAGTCGTGTTTTGCTCGCGTGACGTAAACAGTGTATCGATTATTTGTGCGAAGTTATTAAAACGATTATTCCTTCGGTCTGATGGCGAAAGTACTATTCGGTGCATTCTTCTCTGCGGTAAGCATAATTTCTAATTGTCTTTCGGAAGGCATAAATTTTATCTCTGTGTCGACAATAAAAGAAGATTAAATAAGAATGACACATGATTGTAATCTTTTGTCGTCTACTACGTGATGTTTAATGAACGCTTACGAGAAAACACTTTATGTTGATCCAAAAAAGTTGCGTGTTGCACTATCTATACGTAATACAATTTTGTCTTTCTGTGAATAATATTTATAAATAAATATATAATAACTTATTTTCCAGAATTTTTTGGTGTTTTGTATAATTAGAACGCGTTGTTATACTAATGTAGAACTGATATGTTATCTTGAAATAGAGTTGTCCATTAACTTTGTATCAATGCGTAAATGTTTTATTAATGACTGAGAGCTACAAGAAGAGAAAATGACAAGAATATTCTCGAGCTAATTTTTAGATACTCACTTAAAAATGGAATCTAAAACTCGCACAATGCACAATCGTTCGTGATCGATAGTGCACTTTTCTCTCGAATCCTTCGTTTTTCTCTCGAATAAAATACAAAGAGATATTTACAGATGCCAATAGATTTCGCATCGTAATTGATCATATCCGTTCGCAGACCTTAGTTAGAGGTGCAACTATCTGCATGCTAGGTCAAATTAGTGTAAACGAGTCAATGAAATGTGTGAAACAGATACGAGATAAATTCTGATTGAGAGATACGACTACGTATGCTATAATGATCCAAGAAAGGCACTTTAATCTGCCATTCCTGGTTAACAATCATTAACATTAAATGCTGTTTACGAAATCTTCAAGGAAGCGAATATCATAATCGCGCACGTAATTTCAGACGCAATCTTGCATTTTCGTATCCGATAACCTTGTTACTCGAAACTTTCGCTTCATCACTTTGATTAATGCTGATTTGTCGAAATCGCAATATAGAATACATCACGTAAATTTTACCGCCGACGTCAGAGAGATGAATAAATAAATTTTCCATACCGAGCAGCTATTTCTTATATCAGCGGTCATCTAATTATAATCTAATTGATCTAATTCTTATAATCTAATTGATCTAATTCTTTTGAAGGAAAAATGATTCTAGAATGTTTTTTTTTTCTAGGTATCTGTCAATGATTTGGCGCTATATTTTTACATTGCATGCGGCATCACCGCCTGCGCGCTTATCTTACTTTTCGTTTTGGTGATCGTGCTATTCATGAAAGTAAATCGATTAGCCGAGGACGGGTGAGTAATCTTTGTTAGCCAATAATTAGAAGTAACAATAAACAGAAAAATGTAGGATTATTTTCTATGGGCATTAATTAATATTATTTATATAAATAATTATTTATTGCAAACTATATCATTTGTCTTGCCATCCTCGATCGAATCATCACCGAAGTATTTATCAGTCGACATGCAAAATATTGAAAATTTTAAAAGCTTCAAAATGTTTTTTATAAAGCAAACGTCTTTCTTTAATAAATTTTTTTACACTTTTCTGCAATTTCCTGTAGTTTAATAAAAGCTAAGCAATTGAAATGAAAAATTAAATTGTACCTCCAGCAGTTTATTTGGAAAAAAAAAAAACATAAGTATGATTGTTTCAATTATCTATACATTTATGAATGCTGTATATAAAATCGATTATTGAATATTGCGTGTATCGCTAATACTTCGCCGTGATTATTTGATTGCACACTTTGCGGTACACCTGCGCGGCGAAAGGAAAGTAGAAAAAATGCATGACACATATCTACAACTGAGACAGTTAGACATTTTCGCGTTTCTACCGTAAGAATGAAAATATACATGTTCGTGAGTCACGTAACTAACGATGGAATCGTTGATAGCGTATCTTTATTGCCGCGATTATTTCGCTTATCTCATCCAAGAATATAACGCGGTAATGATGATCAAAAAATTCCACTTTAATTAGTGAATAACTTCTAATATGTTTGCGAGTCTTAAAAGTGTAGATAGTCTGATAATAGTTGAATAGTAGTTCCGATTTCATTTTATTTTGATTATTATATTATGAGAACAAATTACGACAATATCTTTTGCTATGTAGAGAATTATTTATCGAATTTTCTTTATTCGTCGAATTATCCTTTCTTTTTTCTTCAATTTTTTGAAAATATTTCCTAATCTTCTTTTGACATACTTTCTATGTGAAACTTGAGAAAGGTTTCTCTTGGCTCAAGTTTTTTATTTTGCAATTCCTTCAACCATTCATTTTTAATATGATAATGATCGTTATTTCGTTCGTAACATTCGAAATATGTTTCTGATAATAATTTGTAATCGACGATCGATTTTAATTTGAACAGCTGTCAAGATGATAATCTCCGTCGATTCTTCATTTCTTTTCATTACTGGTAGAAATTTATTCACCAAAGTTGAAATTGAAAATTGATTTAGGTCCAACCAGCTAAACAAACAGACGAACATGATGGCAGACTTTTGTTACACCAATCCTACAATTGTGCCAGGGGAATTGCTCTCTCGTCGTGGCTTTTCCATGTATAGCGGAACTGACATCTTCGACGAAGACTTTGGCAAGAATAAAAATGTCCATTACGGAACGTATCATGAAGCTCGATCAAAATTCTGACAAAATTCTGATAAAACTGGAATATAGAGATCAATTGAATTATTATAGTTTATGTACAGAGTAATTAATTATTGATTCAATAGAAATTAAGCAATCCAAGTTAAATTAGAGTTAAATTAGATTACTAGCTAGTTAGAGTTGTAATTACTATTATTTACTTCTTAATGTACAGTATTTCTCTGTGTAATTTATTACAAAATGTATACGCTTAAGTGTCGAAATTTAATCTTTCTTCTTGACTTTACGCAGATGTTACATGTAAATATAAATTTCTATAGTTTTTCTCTGTGGCGTGAAATAATATTCAAAGTTCACAAAATTTGATAATTGGAGAAGTTGAAGGACCATTTTATTGAAGTTAATTTTTGATTTAAATGAAAGTTAATTTTTAGTTGTGTTGTGAAATACGTTCCAATATTGCAATATTTTTGAATATCTCCAACATTATTGAACAGAATTAATAGCTATCTTAAAGAACAATAGAAATGATAAGACGACAGAATGAAATCATTTATTTATATTATTATTATTATATATAAGACTGTATAAGATTTTCATCTCTGTCTGTTTTATCGGTCTTGAGTTGCCGGTAAATCTGAAAGTCTAGTCTAGATGTCCCCGTATGCGTCGCAGAGAAAATTCTACACAGTGCTTCAAAATCATCATACTCTTTTTCACATTTTTCACAAGCTTGAAAAAAATTTGAAATGCGTAATATCGACGATATTTTCTAGTAGACAAGAAATAATGTTAAATTTTGTGAAATATACTAGTCGACTCAATCTTTTTTTTCTGACAGATTTCGTAATTGTTAATTAGATCTGCGAAGATCTAATCAATAATTATCGAATTATCGAATTATCGATGTATTGATCACGATGTAATATAATTGTTTGTATAAGTAATGTGCAGTACCAAAGATAATTTTGCTTGAATTAAACATATGAATGAAACATATAATATAGACTGGAAAATAATTAATTGCTTATAGAATATAAATGAAATTAGTATTTTGATGAAGAATTTTTATGAGTTCAATATCTAAAAAATGTTTCATATAAGAACATATATAAATATATGTAATTGTATGCGAAATATACCTATACATGGTTATATTAGATTCTTCTCTTATAGAAATTTGATTTAATACTAGAAATTATTTTTTTTGTGTTGAAAATATTGAATAAGAATATTTTTAATACTCAAAATAAATAATTAATCACTATCTTCCAGTATTAAGTCTCTATAAAGGTTTTTTTTGTAAAATTTCTGTTTATAAAAAATAGTAATAATTAAAAGATATAAAAAATAATTAAAAAGATAATTTCGCATTGTTCCTTTTACAAAAAATTAAGTTTGAAGAAATGAGAGAAAATTGTATCCATATAAGTGTATATAATCATATACATTTATAATTTAAAATGTATATTTAATTATATATGGATAATTTTTTCTATTTTTAAATTTAATTTTTTATAAAAGAAACAATAAGAAATTACTCTTTCAATTATTTTTCATGTCTTCTCATTATTACTATTATTTTTCTTATATTAAATAGAAATTTTAAAAAAGAAACTATATGAACATATTGTATAGACATATTTCATATAGATTTATATAATTATTTATATTTATATAAATATAATTATTTATATTTATGTTATATCTATAATTATATATACTTTTGTATACTTATGTATATTTATATAAATTTATAAATGTTCTTGCCTAAAAAATTTTTTTATATTTATTGCGCAAATGTCATACATAACGCAAATGTCACATAAATTATTAAATAAAATATATGTAAGGATGTAATATTCGTGGATATAATTGAATTTAAATGATGCAACTAATACAAAAGAATCAAATTGCTAAATTGTAAATAAAAACATAAAGGATTTCTTTCTTTGTGGAAAGTTACATAAGCAGTATATGTAATTGTAATTGATTATTTTCCAGTATTGAATATATTTTCCTATATTGAATATATTTTTTCATGTTGTGTATCGTTTATTAGTGATATTAATGTAAATATATATATATATATATGTGTATTGCTATATG